GCACCATGCGCCCAGCCCACAGTTTCGTGAACTTTGTTTCTCTGACCTGTTGTGTGCCATCATCTGTCAGCCATCCTGGGCTCCCAGGCCCACATGCTTGCCGGCCTTGGCATGTGGTCTGTCCAGCTGACCCTGTGCTGCCTGCAGCCCACTTGGTGAGCAACACCTGCAGATCCAGGCTGAGCTGCTCCCTGGTTGGTCTTTTCATTGTATCTTCTCCACCTCCAGAATAAAAACTGTCCTCCAGGCTCGACTCCAGCTGGATCCTGGGGTGGAAGGCCAAAGAGAGATGTAAGAAGAGCACAGAAGAGTGTGTCTTCTCTTCTCTTCAGGCCTCAGATCTCCCAGGCTTGTGTTAGACAGATTGAGCTCATTTGGGATCAGCCAATGTCCATTGCTTGGATTTCACAGAAGGGTGAAGAGCATGTGGCCTGGGGGCTGAGATGAGCCCAACCCTGCGCCTTGATTGTGTTCTCAGGAATTTTTAAGCTGTCTGATTCTCTATCCATATGCATTCTACAGATGAAGAAACTGTGGTCCTGACTCAAAGTCTGAAATCTTAACCATTATGCCGTTTCCCCTGGGGCATCGTACCCTCAGGGTGCTCTTGGGACTATCAGAGACTCTTGTCTTTGCACCTATTGTTGTATGATCCAGTATGCATGTGTGAACTCCTAATTACAGAGCTGTTCTACTGGCTAATCCTTCTTGCCAGGATCAGTCTTTGGAGGCTGATAAGACAGGATGTAGACATTTACCATCATTGTGCAGACAGGATGTAGACATTTACCATCATTGTGCAGACAGCGGGGACCTGGATTCCAATCCTGGACCTCCTACTTTGCCACTATGTGAGACTGAGTCTGTGAGCCTCCTGAGCCTTGGTTTCTCCAGGCGTGGCGAGTTGATATGATGCCTGTCTCAAAAGGCAGCTGGGTTGCTTTATCTGTTGCCCCCCTGAAGGAGGGCTCTTACTCCTCTTTGTTTTATTGTGTTGGGTCACGGAGAAAATTGCAAAGATGGGTTATGATCAAGTACCCAAACATACCAACATTGGGTCAGTTTTCCTTTAAATGAAGGACACCAGTATCAACACAGTAGGGACAGCAGGAAGGGCAGCACCTGGACCCCCTTGGCCCTTACCCCATTTATGCATCTCTTCAGTTGGTAGAATTGACCCAGGGGTCATTTTTAATACTAATATACTCTATCCTGAAGCACTTGGAGCCCAGAAACAGGTTACATGGTTAATCAAATATTTATGTTAGCATGTGAATGTGTTGTGTGAGATTTAGGGCTTATAACATCTATTAATAATTCTTCTGACAATTAAACATCGTTAGGATTGTTATTGGGAGGGGGACTAGAAAGGAGAAACCAGAATCAAGGTTGTGAGGTGAGAATAGAATAGATCTGGTAATCAGATGGAGAGATGAAGAGCATCAGCCCAACTGAGCTTTCAGTGGGTCTTCCATGTGAATCTCCTGCATGTTGATTTGMTGCTGTTACTCCTGAAATAGAAGCTGCAACCTAAAGCCAGCTTSTCTAAACCTCCTGGACAGCAAGTTCAAGGTGCTTGTAGAAAATAAGAGGACCCTTCTTTCTTCCCAGAACTTGCACCTCGCAAGCCACTGTCCGTCAACTGGATGGTTTGTATGCAGCTGTTTGAAGAACGCATTTTGGCCTTTGTCCATGTGTTCTTCTAGAGGTCCCTGAGGCAAGGGCCAGGTTCAGGTGTCTTGGGCACCTCGGATCSCATCTATTGCAGATAAAGCATTTCACAAAAATGGCTTGTAGTTTTGTTCCACCCCAGGTCTCTTGTSGTAGCCCTCCTATACATGAGTTCCTATTTTGCAGCCTCCATAGCTGAACCATCTGGGGGAGGACATAAGGTGATGTTGACCTACATGGAGTCGTCGTCTGCCTTCCACCCTAAAACTGGGTCATGCAGAGGAGTGAGGGAAGTCTCRATTGTTAAGTGCCAGCTTGACACCTAACTGGTTCCATAATATGGGACAACATCCTCCCCAGGCTTTGTCTTCCTCTTTGTGACATGAGGATGGTAACACTGTCACTCTCTAACACAGGGCCCATGAGGAAATGTAGTAAARCATTTAGGTGTTCAATAGAGTTTCTGGCACATGCCGGTTGCCAATCAATGTCAGCTGTTACCAGGGGCAACACGGTTTAATACAATAATCCTTCCCCGGGCCCCCAGCATGCTTGCTTTCAAGTGGTTATCACACAGTAGATTTTAAACTAATCTGCATCATCATCTGATTGTGAGTTCTTCTTTGTACCTCCTTTGAGGTTGTCAGACTAAAGCCATCTGCCTCGGATTAGTGGGGAGCTGCAGTATCTATCATTGATTAGTTTTGAAACCCAGGCATGTCAGATATGAGATAACTTGCTTGAGTTCCCGGTTGTTTCTGACTACTCCTCTCCTCTAAGAGGACAAGCAAGAAATGGACTCGGGAAGAGTTTTTTGTGTCCAAGGCAGAAAAACAGCTTGGACTTGGGGGTCGTGTTTAAGCGTTAGGTGGACGCTGGAGTCCTGCTCTGTTAGAGCAGCGAAAGTTGTTGCCTTTGTATCTGCTCAGATGAGTTCCAGAGACGGCTGGCGTGGCTGGCGTGGCGAGGGACTGTGGATGCTACTGCTGTTGGTTGGGTTTCTTTCAAATGCAATGAAATATGCTCTTACTAAGAAGATTCAGCTGGTTTTCRTTAGTGACCATGGCTTGATGGAGACTAACTTCTCTTTTATATCAAAATTCTCTGAACTATGTCAAGAAAGCCATCCTTCCAAAATGAATGTTATGTTKTTCTTATGGAACACCCAGTTCCTAGACCAGAAAGGGATTTTTGCTGTTGTTGTTTTTCAATGATAAATGGATAAATGGTCATTTTTTATTTTAGAGGATTTTTGTAATTAATGGTTAGACTCTTGTGAAATTTTTTTGGGAAGGGTACTGGCAATTGAACTCGGAGGCACTCAACCACAGCCCTATTTTGTATTTTATTTAGAGTCAGGGTCTTGCTGAGTTGCTTAGCACCTCACTTTTGCTGAGGCTGGCTTYGAAATCCTGATCCTCCTGCCTGAACCTCCTGAGTTACCGGGATTACAGGCGTGCATCATGCACCCGGCTTCACATGAAATTTTTAAACAGGTTTTATTCTTCTGTGTATGAACTAGTCATAAGGACATGATGACCTGTGATTACTAAGAACTATAGTCAGTAATAATAATAATGTATTATAATTTCAGAGGGGGTTATAGGGATTGATCCTAAAGGTACTTTACTACTGAACCATATCCCCAGCCTGCTGTCCCCCCTTTCCTTCCTTCCTTCCTTCCTTCCTTCCTTCCTTCCTTCCTTCCTTCCTTCC